CTTGCTTGCATTCCCCCCCCGCTTGGTCTCAACATGGACGCATACGGCCGTTCCGCTCTACTCCTTGGCATGTCGGAGGAAGAGCTCCTCAGACAGGCGAATAGATAGAGCTGGGTTATTCACCTTATCATTTCCTGTAGGTAGGAGGTTCAAAAAGGGACTAGTTCGGATGTTTTTGGACCTTATCATTGCATGTAGGAGGTTCAAAATCCAACGGTCGTGTGATGATTTAAGCCTTCTCATACTCTTTCGCTCATGTCACAAAAATATCCTTTTGCGTGCAGGCAATTGTGGCCAGCCTGGAGGAGGCAGAGGAGATGCAGCAGCACATCGAGAACCTGGATGAAACGTTGAGAATGAACCTGTTGAAAAGGGTTGCAGTCCCCGGGAAAGGGGACTGCCAATACCTGGCGCTGGTTGAGTCGGCCAAGAAACAGGGCATCAACCTTGGCGGTGCGGCGGATGTGCGCATCAAAGCCTTTCAGCTCCTCCTGAATTAGAAGGACCGCTACAGCAGTGGTGGGACGAGGCGTGGGGCTCCTATGATACATGGGCGATGCAACAACTGAATAGTGGGACCTGGGGGGATGATTTTACCTTGCAGGTGGCTCGGTGCCATTTCGGCTTTCCAGGTCATTGGGGTTTGTTCACCTTATCTTTCGCTTTAGGAGGTTTAAGTAGGAAGTCTCCAATGCACATTCCAACCTTATCTGTTGCTCGCCGTTTTCTTTCTGGTCTTAGACTTATTTGGGAGTTTTTCTCCTTATCATTTCCTTGAGGAAGTAGAAGTAGGAGCGTGCAAATCTTCATTTGAACCGTATCTAAGGCTTTTGTGGACGAGACCAACATCGGGGTAAGGGTCTACTACCTCGAGTTGGACAATGTGAGAAAGGATTACGTCCTGGCCTTCCATGACAAAGTCCCCCAAGCGCCAACAGAGGTCATGCTCACCATCTGCCACTTTAAGGTGCCTGTGCGGCAGTAACAGTTCTTTGCTTGATTGGGGAAATATGTTAAAGAACATGTTGTTCCACCTTATCTTTTTGAAGAGGTAGAAAACAGGAATTTATGTGCTTCATTTTACGCCTTATCCTGTAGAATTGGTAGAAAACCTGATGTCTTTACCTAGGAGTGGCACTACGACGCAGTCATCCCGCTGTCCCAGGCCAACAGGGATAGAAAGATGGGCTACGACCTTGGAGGCCGCAAGCCCGCCCAATCTGAAGGGCAAGAAACAGGTTCTCAATGAAGACCTGCTCCCCTCCAACTTCAAGGAGGCCTATTTCCAAAAAGCAACGGCCACGGTGGCCTCGCTCACTGGGGTGGCTCGAGGCAAGGCTGTGCCTCCCGATGTACGGGAAGAGCCCGGAGGNNTCCATAGGCTCCTCCCATTGTCTTCCCCAGTACGGGTCTATAGGCTGATATGTATCTTCAGTGTCTGACCACCCTAGTAAGGGATGGCTTAGGGTTTTGGATTTAGGGCTTAGTGTTTTGGATTTAGGGTTTAGGGTCTTTTATTTAGCCTTGAGGGTTTAGGATATAGGGCTTAGGGCTAAGGAGCAGTGAGGGAGTGAATATAGGTGCCATCATAGGGGTATGTATGGGGAGTATATAATAGGCATTATTATGGGGATCCACTCCCCCACTCTCCCTTTAACGCGGCCTTCTGCGAAGATCCTGTGTTTACCGTTCGGCAGATTAATATACCATTGTAAAGTATTGCAAAGGATCTTTCTGAGTATTATAGGAGGCTTGAATACTACCAGTACAATTACCATGTTCTGGTCGCTTGGTACCTTTCACAATGGTAATACATTGAATCTAGGAGACAGGCATTGGTAATCCCGAAGCCCCAAACCCTAAATCCTAGGCCTCTGCATTAGGCTACTCTCGTGGACCTTTTTAGCAAAGAATATTGGAATGGATATGGCGCAACCCTGAGGGTTTAGGATCTAGGGCTGGTATTTTGCTTGGTTCCGTGCCAGATCTGCAGTACTCAAACTTATCAACAACCTGCCTAGGGGGTCGGGTTTAGGGGGAGTAGGTTTGGGGTTTAGGGTTGAGGGACCCAATTAACATAACTGTTTACTTAAGAGTTGGGGTACAGTAGTCGTAGTGCAGATTTGAGGAAGTATATAATTTTGGGGACGTGGACCTGCAAGGCTACCGAGGCTCGTGCGTTGCGTAGGCTGAAGACGAAATATGTCCTAATGCAATTGTGGTCTCCAATTCCTTGCGTCAGGACGGGGAAAGGTACTTCGAACAGACCTCAAGCTGATAATGGTCTTAATTCACCGCCTTGTGTTCCTGACGGGTTGCATTCCACCCCCGGAATGCAGCCGAGCAGTCTCTTCTTTTTCAGACACCGAAAGACTTTGCTCATTTTTCTCCGTGTAGCGAACCCTGTGCCTTAAACCCCGAACCCTGAGCCCTAAGCCCTGTATCCAAAACCCTGAGACAAAAATCCTAAACACAAATCTTAAGCCCTGAAGCTTCAGTAAAGATGGGCTAGGGCTGGGCATTCCCTCATTAAGATTTTGCAACTTCAGGATGTACAGGAAAATTCTTTCCAGACTCCTGGCAGGATCTATACAGTAGAACCCTAGTATGATGCCATCATCTACTACTACTACTACTACTACTACTACTACTACTGAGACTACTCCTACCACCACTACTACTGCTGCTACTACTACTACTACTCCTCCTCCTACTACTACTACTACTACTGGGTAAACTCAAGGGGGTCTACTTTAAAGATCCTTCCAGGGGCCCAGCAAAATTTTGGGGAGGGCACTGTGCGTCTGGAGACACAATGTGAAAGCGTGAGCCGGCATGGTCCTAAGTTCCTTGTATAGATTTTCCGGAGGATTCCTCACATGAGCTATAGTCTAAACTCCTAAAAATGGGGTTATATGGGGCAGTATTTAAGGGACTACTACGGGGGTTATTCAGGGGGATACTAGGGGTTTAGACTATAGCTCACATGGACCAAAATGCTTATCGACTCTTTATATAGATACAGCTTCCAGTTGTTCTTTCCATGACTTTCTTCCTTGGTAGATTTCGTAAACCCTCAACCCTATCCCCAACCCTAAATCCACCAAACTCTAAACGCTAAACCCTGCTCATTGAAACTGTACATCAGCCCAAACTTGCAGTTTTCTCCGTTAACTCCCAACCCCAAACCCCAAACCGACTGTCGCGCTGCACGCATGGTCGACAATGGCGGAAACGAAGAGGCTCAATTTGGGCTTCAAAACCTCCCCGCGTTCGGAGTTTGGATTTGGGATTTGGGGTTCACGATATCGGGTTTAGGGCTTAGGCTTAGGTTTTGCGGTTTAGGGCTTAGGACTTCTAAGTTTAGGGTTGAGGCTTTAAGAAACGCCTGGAAAAATAGAGCATGAGAAAGCAACTAAGGGCAGGCAACATGGGAACAGGGTTAAGGGTTAACCCGCGTAATTTTAACCCCCCTCCCCTTCTCCGTGCTCATATTAAATTCTATGATTGGGTTTCAGGTTTAAGGGGAGAGGAATAATTAGGTTGTTTGTTGTTGCTGGGTTTGGGTTTGGCCAGGCCTAAACCCTAAACATCCCTAAACCCTAGACCTTAAACCCTAGACCCTAAACCCTAAACCTAAACCCACACGGTCTAAGGTTATGGGATGATGGTGTGAGTGTTTCTCCCTTCTGGTCACCTGTATGGCTTTTCGGGGTTTCGTTATTTTCTCATTTCAACAACCTAGGACCTAGCTCTAATTAACACATGGTGGATACAACAACTGTCATGGTGTCCCTGACTTTACGTGGAACCTACAAGAGGTATTTGGGTCATCTAAAAGGTAGTTTTTGCCCCCTTAAACCCAAAACCCTAAACTCTAAGCTAGTGTTTGTTTTGAGTTGACGACCACATTGGCCTCAGTGTTTGGGGGTGTAGGATTCAGAGACGAACCCTAAACTGTAAGCCTGCTTTTGAGGTTCTTGAGGGACAGCAGGGGGCTTTCAGGTCAAGTTCAGGGTGTAGGGTAAGTTTAATGTTTTATGGTTTGTAAAGGCTCCTGGGTTTGGGTTTTACGATCTGGTATACTTGTTGTTGCCTGCGGGTTTACGATGTGAGGCCCAGTCCCTTCCCTGCAAATTTATGTTCAACCTTTGCCCTAAGCCCTAAGCCTATGCACCTCAGGCTTAAACTCTACACCCTAAAATTCTAATCCCCTAAAACCCCCTAACATCCTAAACCGCTTGACCCGAATGCACCAAACCTCTAAACTCGAAGGTCTGAAACCGGCAAAGCACGTTCATCCTAGATATCCGGAGCGGGTTTTGTATTTGGGTAGGGCAAAGCTTGATACGGTTTCCCACGGGTCCATTCAGGGTTTCAGATTTAGGGCTTGGGGTCTAGGATGCACGGTGTAGGATTTAGGGTTCAGGGTTTATGGTTCAAGTTCAAGTACCCGACAATCGAGTACTTGAGAGTTGGGCAAAAGTATTTCTAGTACTTATATCGTGGAAGTATCTCCTTAGGCTAGGTCTCCGAATGGTCCAATGTAGGCACTATCTATAGACGTTCGGGACCAATGTAGGCATTGCTTATAGACTTTAGGGTCCAATGCCCATAGATATTACTTATAGACAGCAGGGCTCATTTAGGTATCAATTTCGGGCATAGGGCCCCATGGTATGATCATTAACCCAGAGCCCTAAACCCTAAATCCTAAACCCTAAATCCCACACCTCTCTTGGACCTTTAGCGTCTCCCATGTTTTACTTATACAGGGATCTTAACGGGAGCCTCATAGGAAACCCTATACCTACCAGGGTCCTTCTGTTTCCTTTATTTTCCTGCTATATATTTTGGGGGTTCCCTGTTGGGATGCCCACGAAAGTTATTTACACAAGCAAGCTCTCATAGCGCATCTTGATGCAAGTTGCGATTCCACATGTATAACGGTATTTCTCAGAAGTCAGACTACCAGTGACTAGCAATTCCAAAAACGACCCACAACAAGATGTACAAGCCTACACACGGGCCTTGGGGGCAAGGGGCGGGTTTACATCGCCACCTGACCAAAATTGCACGGACCCCCTGCGCCGTTTAGGGTCTAGGGTTTGGGGTCTGTCCTGGGACCTCAACTGACCCAAACCGACTTCTTGGTTGCGAAGAAGTATTCATCATCGCCATCATCACCATACTAGTAGGGATCTCTTGAACACGTTTGAGGTTTGAAAGCTTGTTATGAAGCCCCTCAGCTGAACGCGTGTTTGTGAGGGCTCCAGGGTAGATAGAGAGCCCACAATTCCAGACGGAAGTGAACTCTACGCCCAAGACAACCAATCCAACGCCACGAAACGGCTTAACATGTCTTGAAATGGTAGTTTCCATGGATGGAGTCCGCCAACATAGATAGCCAAGAAGGCCAGCATTCTATGTTACTTTTAGGGTTTCGGGTTTAGGGCGATCAGAA